CTTTCTGGAACATGGCCAGACAACACCAAGTGTGGGATCGACCGGATGACAATTCCGACTTTATTCTTGGAGGTCCACAACATGAATGCCCGAAGCACGGTCATTTGTAGAAAAGGACATATGCACGATTATATATACATGCCCAAAGAACCACGCAGAATCTGCCTCTGAACTCATTCTCTCATTCTCACTCTCTCTCTCTCTCTCTTTCTATAATAAGTTTAGAGGTTTTTGCACGTGCTCCTTTGTCTTGTCATGACTCCGGCCAAAGCACCTGCAGCAGTGTGTCACTTTGATGTACATGATGCACATCAGCATTGTTCAGAACATGTACATGTTGTTCACGTCTCAGGGAGGTTTACAACATCGAGCACAGCGCCTTCGCCTTTTGCAAAGCCTTGAAGACGGTGAGCTTTGTCGAGCAGAAATTGACCTGGATTGGCGACCAGGCGTTCGAGGGCTGCAGTGCCCTGGAGGACCAAGGGATGCCGATGGCGTGAATTGTCTGGGATGATGTCTTTGGACAGAAGCCTCAAGTTTCAATTCCTGCCACTGAGATTAATGAAGATTGCACATATGCCTCAGAAAACAACACTTACTACTAGGAGCAAGGACGCTACTAGGGGCTCCTGGCATCGCTACTGGGAGCATTCTTACTCTTCCAAGCCTCACGGCGCACAGCTTTCAGGAGATTCAGATCCCGGACCAGGTGGCCCATCTGGGGAAGGCGGCCTTCAAGGATTGCACCAAGCTCAGGAGGACAGAGCCGTCCGGAAAACGACCGGTGATGTAAAAGACGAAGAGGTGAGTAGCTTGCGTGGTCAAGAGAAATGAAACTGATCAGTGTCATAATGCCATAGGAAGTCTTTTGCAACGCAACAAGCTCGAAAGTCATCCGCGATGGATTCTTTCGCGATTGTTCCTCCGCACTAACGCTGCGGAGGATCCAGCTAAGCTACTTGCTGAGCAACATCCAAGCTGAATGCTTTGCCAATTGCCATTCCTTGCAACGAATCAAGGTGCCAGTGACGATTCTTCTTTATCAAGAGCAGGATTTTCAAGAATGATCTCTTGCCAAGACAACGAGAGATTTGCGTTGGGTTTTGCTCGGGTTTTTGCCCAGAGCCAGTCAGATGCTTGTCCCACCGTGTGTCAGCTCCGCACCCTTGCCCAACCCACCATTCACGCCTGGTTCGATCAGAAATAAAGTTGTTCACGGTGCTCACAAAAAAATGCTCATTGCGTCAGGTTAAAGTGTTCAACCTCTAGATGTTAAAAGAAAGAAGTTTTGTTTGAGTTCCAAAGCGCTCCCCAGCGGTCTCGCAGCGCTGCCAGAAGGTGCCGATGTACGTGACGCACATCGAAAGCCATGCCTTCTCCAACTGCCACGCGCTGTTCCATCTGAGCTTTCACTCTTTCAGACCGATCCTCACGCACATCGAGGACGGAAAAGAAGTTTAGCGGTTCGTTTGCTCGTTGTTCACTGTTCTTGTCTTCGTTTCTTCTTCCTTTTCAATGACTGGTTTACTCATACTCATACTCATACTCATACTCTCTCTCTCTCTTTTTTCCCTAAGCACCATGTGCTGTATTAGTATGTGCTAACTTGCTTCCTTCTTGTTTGTGGCGGCGCAGTCTCTGGATCATAGCTTATTTGAGCATGAACCGCAACGATTAAGAGACACCACTATGCTCCGGGTTCATCTTGAATCGTTCTCAGTTCTGCCGTGGCTGTGTTTCGGTGTCTATTTTCTGGAGACTGCTTCGCCAAATGCCCGTTCCGTCAATGGCGGAGGGGTGCTTTGCTGCCGATCTTGGATACTTCTTGAACCTTGCATGCCTGCTCAGGTTCCTTTCAAGAAAGGCCTAAGGAGGGAATGAATCGCAATGGAAAGGCCTAATCTCATAAGCCCCTCTAACCTTCCTCTTGTCCGCATGACATTCCCCACATCGGAAAAAGCACTACCTGGGTTCGCAGTCTCAGGAGGCTGCCTTCCAAAACTGCAGCTCTTTGCGCAGCATGATCGTTCCCAACACTGTGAGAACCATCGAGCGATCGGCCTTCGAGGGATGTACTGGATTGACCAAAGTGGCTTTGTCCAAGACACTCAAGCGGCTTCTTGCCTTGGGTTGGAGAAAGAAATCAAAGGACTCCTTTTCTTTTTTCTGTGTTTTTAGCGATGGTCTCCAACCTACTAGTGATGGCGCAATGGGCTCCAACCGAATAGAGAGAAGTATTCAAAGAACTAGTGTCTGCCACATGGGTCTTCTTTCTCGGTTCTAGTTCTTTCTATTTGTCATCCTGGGCGATGAGGCACACAGTCAGGTCAAGTCCTGACGTTGGTACAGCCAAGGATCGAGGAAGGAGCCTTTCAGAATTGCAGCAGTTTGGCGCCTTGGCAGGAACTGCCCAACACCCCACAGTTTGACTGGTTTCTGAAAATGTGTAGCGCTTTCTGCCAGTAAGGCACTTTAGTCACAGGTGGAAACTTGTCCACACCAAGTTGGCCAACAACTGTTTTTCCTTCATGGTCACTGCAGCCTTTTTTGTGCCCACAAGCTGTTTCTGCGGCTGTTTGAGAATCTGACTGTTGAACTGTTGGGCAATCTAAAAGGCATCAAGTGAAACCTTTCATATGACTTAGACAACACATTTTTTAGAGCTGTTACAGATGCTGCCTTGCGCGTGCGAACTACCGGGGGAACTCGTTCGGCGCTCTGAGGCCACCATCACCATCCCCAGTTCGTGCCTGCGGATCGAACACCGAGCCTTTGCGAACTGCAGCAGTCTGCTGTGGGCAACCCGGTCTTTCGATACTAGTTACTTCACTAATAGCTTCTTGTTACTACTAGTAAGGCACTTGTTACTAGTAGC